CGAATATCGGGTGTGGTTGTGAGTATTTCTCTCGACTACACTCATATGCAGTGCTTGTAAAAAACTTCTATGAATCATTTAATATCCTTATATACCCTCTATAAATTCTATTGCGTCACAACAGAATTGGTTTCATAAGTAAGCGAGATGAGCACATCAAGACATAGTCAGTGACAGAGATGGGCAAGTCAGAGGTTTTTAAGATTCAAGTCAAGTCAAGTCAAAAGCTGACTATGTTTTCTCATCTGGCCGCCACTTATCTGAAATACATGAAAGAATTTATTTTTCTTTGCTTCTGCTCTCATAGGTACTTTTAGTGTAGACAAGAATTAGACGCATAAATTTCAAAAACATGTCCATTTTTTTACTTAACTTGTGACTTGACTTTGAAGGCCAAGTCACAAGTCAAGTCAAGCCAAGTCACGGTCGTTCTCAAGTCAAGTCAAGTCAAGTCTGACTTGACTAGACTTGACTTGTTTCAACTTAAAAAAGGACTTGACTTGCCCATGTCTGGCCAGTGAAAATCACAATATGATGTGGATTTATCAGTTTATCTTTGATTAATCTTTTTAAGCCAGATCCGAATAGATCTCGAAATTTTCAATGAGAAAATGTCTTTTTTTTGTTACCATAATTTATTTGCAGTTGAAGCTCACAGCTAACAATTTCGTCCCAGAGATACCTATTTAAACCTACAATGAGCTGACTCTGTCAGATGGAACGTATAGGTATTACAACAGAAAATGTTTTTCGGAACTCTCTAGAATATTCGCAACACTAAAAACTGTGATGTCACGGATGATGAGTTTGAAAAGTGAGATGATCGGTCCTTGTCTTTTGGTGTATGAAGAAAACCTAGGTTCGGCATAAGAAGAATCAAGTGGAAAAGTAAAGCTTGAGTGATGAGAACAAATTCAATCTTTACTTTTCAAAGTTCTAATGGCTACAACAGTTCGTGTGAAGATTACCAGAGAAAAAAATCATATAATACATTGCACTAAAAGCAGTACAGCTAATTTCCTTCATGAAATCGTTCAACTGCAATGTATTTATTAGTGTTCGATATAAAAGGCCTAAAAATCTCTCTATATATTTACGAAAGTTTATTGACATCAAATTATTGATAGTGGCTAAAGGCTCCTTGAGAATTATCTGCTGACTAATCTGCAATGAAGTAAATCATTACGACGGACTATTTAAATTAAGATGACTCTAGCCTACTTCACAACTGTCAGAAAAAGGGTATAACCAGGGAGAGAAACCAAAACCAGTTTTATCTTTATACCTAGATATTATCTTCATCATGAACTAAACCTGAAATATTTTTTTTTGTATTACTTTTAGATTAAAATACAATTCAATCGTATCATTGTTGATCGCTTGGAATGGCATTGAATAATTCAGGTACAACTCTATTTTCTAAACACTAAAAAGAAGAAGCCAACGATTCGATCGGTTGCGCGATATACCGTGCTAATCTATCAATCTAAGTGTACTTTCTTACTCGCGTAACTATCAGGACTCAAAACAGGTCAGTTTTTCACGACCCTATCCGCCCCGGACCCCTATTAACCAACGATGCTACAGAAAGATGATCGAAACTCAAAAAAACATACGCTTGTATTTTTATTGAGTTTGGGTTCCTAAGATATGGTACCATCTTAAAAGCTGGCGGTAGTTTCCATAGATACTATAAAGATTCACAAGAAAACTTTTGAAAATTGCATGATTTCAAAAAAGTCAAAGTCTCTCCATTATTTTGTCATCATTCTCATTTTATCACTTTCATTTTTAAACGATAAAAAAATTATTATGTTAATTTTCATAATCTTAATTACTGATTCTTTTTTACCACATTTGAGATGAGTCAATGTACTATTATTTTTTTAATGCATACCTATTACCACACATGAAAGAGTGTCTATTAAGCTAAAACCTGTAGAATCCATGCGACGCGAAATAAATCCGGATGAAAACCTGAAGTATTGGTGTTACAACTGCAAGAAAGTGATCTGCTGTGTCTATCAATTGTCTAAACACTATGACCACAACTTTGTAGCCATTGACGACATTATAGAACAAGTAGAGAAAGAGGTCAGTATTCGATACTGTGTACGTTTTGTTTCATTAAAAAGCTTTTCATTGAATTTAGTTGAAACATGACCTTGAAAGCGTGCAATTATCTTAGAAAGAAGCTTTAAAAAATGTACGACAAATGATCAATTCGAATGAAAATGTTAACAAAGGCAGAATCACAGAAGCATTCATGTCTATACGTGCAATTGTCGATCAATACGAGAACGAGCTAAAACAAACGATTGACGAAATTGATAGAATGAATAAGAAGCCGATTGAAGACTGTCAAAATGAGCTGATCGACAAAAAAGAGAAGCACGACCAACATGAAAAACAATATGGAGATATTCTTGTCACCAATGATCATGAAAAGTTATTACGATCGAAGGAAACATTGACTGATAATACCGCAAAAATTCTGCACGACCAAGAAAACTTAAGAGTCCCTATTACAATCGAATACAATATTAACAGCGTTGACAAATTACAAACAGCTATCGATGATGTTCTCAAGCGTCTCAATATCATGGAGAAACAAAGTAGCGTACCTATCAGCGTCTATATATGTGTGATACTGGCTCTAGTGTTTTACGAGTTTCTACTCAAAAAATATTCCTTCTATCATCAAATGTTTTGAAAACTTGAGTGAAGAAACGACATGATAGGTCTCAACATACTCAGAACACAATGTTAATCTTCCAAAAAACTGCTGTAGAACATAGAATTCTCACTAATAAATCCATCACATAAAAATATGTGGAATATGCTAACCATATCAGATTTTGATTCACAGACTTCGTAATCTTGTTTACTGATGTATTTATTCAAGCGAAACGATTCCATATGCTCGAAAGAACAGAAAGTTCTATTTTTGTTTTGATACTTGTTCTCAAGTTAATTATATGTACGTCAAATACTAACATAGCTATAAAAATAATAAGCAGATGAGTTCGAACGTGGATTTTGACGACTCTTTGTATTGAATGATAAATATATAGTTAGAATGCAGCGATCACGTGAGAAAATGTTTAGCAAGATGACCCATAACCTTGAGGTTTATAGACACCCATGCTATGATGTTTATTAAGAAAAACTAATATGCTAGTAGACGTGAATAGTTACCTATAATCGGCTAAATATACTGTTATGGATAAACGAAATTTGGTCAATATTATTTGCTTCGAAGATTATTTTAACTATGATTAAAACTAAAAGTGTTGGAAACTGACGTAGAGACTTCTGCACGTTTTCTCGTTCTTAAAACTAACAAGCTAACCAACTAAATTCGAATCAAATGTTTATTACTGAAAAAAGAAAAATAAAAAACAAGCCAAAATTATGTGAACATGATAGTTTACGAACTTTTAGATCATGTTCTTACCGTTCATTTTTCATATCTTTTTGTTACGTTTAAAGACAAACTGTTGAGGAGGTCAAGTGCTGTAATTGAATAATTATAGTATTAATTACATGTGTTTATTCGACTTTTTGTTGCTGTTTTTCTGGCACAATGTGAACTTAGATGACAACAAGTACACCAACATACATAATTCATCTTAAACCTACAGTTCAACCTGAGTCGCCAAAAAAGATCTTCGCCCATACCTATTTGCATCTACTCATACTCGCATCCCTATGAAGATAAAAAAAACAAAGTTTACATTGTTAAAGATAGTTTTGAATTGTTTTTATCATTTTACACGAGGAAATTATATTTTTTTTTGATTTATGCATTAATCGTATTTAAAGGAACGTATAGGATATGCAATATTCAAAGATATTGTTTTTATTATTTACTTATATATAAAACTGAATAAAACCTGATAAAATATTTACAAATGTATCGTTTTTATTTTAATTAAAGTGTTAAATTACGTAGAAAACTCAGCACATAAACCGAAAAATGAGTCATTCTTTGTAAATGCCAATTTACTCTCAATGTTAGTTCTGAAACAACTTGACAATATTCGATTCCAATTTAGCATCGAGAAACGAATAGAAAAATATCATTTAGTTGGATTTGAAACTAATAAAAAATTGAAAAAGAATATTCATTCAGATAGCTTGAATATACATCTTTGAACAAAATTTTTACCATTGTAATTCTATTTCAGTTTGAAACTGTTGGAGAGCAAATCAATTTTAATTACGAAGATGACTTACATTTTTGATCACAGGAGTTTCTATGATAAATTACTATTTACTTCAACAGAAACTTTCAGTTGTTCAAAACTCCTTATTGAACTTGAAACTATCCATTTTATCGCAATAGTTCATACGTGAAATATGTTTTCTTGCATCTGATAATTATTTTTCTATTTGCGTATTCATATAGAAGATGATGGAAATCGACTCAGAAATACAACAGTTAAGAATTTCACACGTTGACGAGCTGAAAGCTTGGATAATACAAAAGACGAAAAAGAATTAAAAATCGAAAGTAACTGTTACATTCACCTATAAATCTAATGAAATCTATCCTACTCCTAAACCTTGTACAGTCTATGCCGCTAATATAGATCTATAATACACAGTAACTATGTAATTAGTATCGAAAATCTGCTAGTTGCTATTGAAATCAAAAACAATTCGTGAAACATTTTCCTGAAATAGAGTACCCAAATTATCATTTACAATAAAAATTGATTTAAGATTGAATGAAGACGATAAAGAATATTAGATTAAGATTGTTATGATAGATATTCATTGCTAATTGATCACGAAATTTTTCGTGAGAGAAAAAGTTGAGTTTATAAACAAAAGCTTTCAAGATATAAAAAAAAGATGCCAGATAATGTAATTACACTTCAAATTACTACAATACAAGCATTTTTTTCTAATATATGCAACATATGAACTAAAATTTCTTTTTTCTAGATTCACATTCAAAAAAAACCATAAACCAGCCACATTCACATTCCACAATGAATAATACAGATCAAGCATCATTTTATTCGAATCCAGCAGCATCACATCCACAGATACCTGGATTTTATATATCAAATAATCGTATAGAACAACGTAAGATTAACTTATCAAAATTATTATTGAAATTATATTTCTTTTTAGCATCCCCTGTACAAGTATGGAATCAAGCACCATATGAATTACGAATGAATCATCAACCAGTAAATATAAAATTTCTTTTAATTTTAAATAAACTTTACATATCTATTTAGTATATCAATCAACAAATGTCTGAAGATTATCCTCAACGATTTCATGTTCCTCCAACATTATTTATATCTGCCAATAATCTACGACCAATGGTTAGTCTAACAAGAAAACTTTGATAGATATTATGTCAAATATTCTTTCTTAACAGAATTCTTCAACGGTTTCTTTACTACAACCATCACATGCAAATGTAAATTATTCACATTTGATCTCACAAAATGAATATTCTTTAATGTATGCACCGAGAAATAATAGTCTTCCATCAGTATCAACTGGTTATTCACAACCATTGTTTCCAAGTAAATTTTTTCTTATTTATAAAATAAATAAATTTCTTGTTGTTTTTTTGTTTTTATCAGCTTATCCAACGTCTCCAGTACCGTCAACAATTCCCAATCAACCAAAAACACTACAGAAGCCACCAGATACACTCTCTGATTTAACAGAACAAATACAAATTCATCGAATACAAGATACAAAAGTATACATATTCTCTTATATAAACCAAATAAATCAAAGTGAAATTTCTTTTTTTATAGATCGATGAATCAACTGTAGCAGCATATCAGCCTACAATAGCACAACATATTCAACAATCGAATTTCTGTGCACCAATAATATCATCTAGAAGAAAGAAAAGACGAAAGAAAAAATCATTATTTCCTGTTGATTCAGTACTACATAAACCCGTAGAAGTTTCTACACAATCCATAACTTCGGCTACGACGATATCAGCGGGATCTTCAACAATAATAATGAGTGAAAATCGACCTATTGAATCAACTACGACAAATACAGTTAAATCAACAAATAAAACAAAAAAACAAGCTAAAGTTCCACAACAATATGCTGACATACTTGCTAATTCTTCCAATATTCAAATAAATAAGGTATAAAAATGAATATATTAAATATTCTTCGAAATTTTTATTTGAAATATTTGTTTTTCCAATCATACAATACACCATTGATGTTTGACATATAACCAAATCTTTTCGATTTAAATTCAATTTCAATAGTCAGCTAATGAAAGTCATGATAATGCTGATGTAGAGTACAAAAAAGATCTAAGTGCATCAACTTACATTCATACTTCTAAGATTTTTGTTTACAATCATAACATGGCATAGAAAATGATGATACTTGATTGTTCATTTTCTTTAGTAAATTTATGCATAACCAATATATTAGTTTAGAAAAAAAAACATCATAACAGAGGCTGAGCATTATAGAAGACAACATCGAATTGATTATCGAAATTGTTTTTCTTTTCTTTATGATTATTTAGTCTGATAATCCAATATCTTCCGTGACTGAAGAAATTAGTAAGAATTTGCTGAAATCACAACAAACACTAATAATCAATGATGAAAAATCTTTGGTATCACCAAAAAAACGTTTCCATTATGATCGTCAAGAACTTTTACGTATTCGTGATAGTTCAGCACCATTTCCGGTTCCACAACGTCTTGTTGGTCTTGATATTGTTGTTAATCAATGTGACAAAAATAATAGTAATGATAATACAAGTCATTCATATACTGATACAACCAGTCAACGACGCAAGAATCGTGCATGTCGTCAAAAATCATTACGTACTAATCGGAAATCATTAACACATGATCAAAATAATCCAAGTCTAACAAGCGGTTCAAGTCATAAAATAGAAATTCATGTATCAACTGAACCTGATTTTAGTAATCAAGTTACAAATACTTACATTCCAGTCGACCAACATAAAATTGATGCTGATAATAGATTTTTATGTGATGTTAGATTCATATTAAATAAATTAACACCACAAACATATGATCAATTACAAAAACAACTTGCAACTTTAGAAATTGATTCTTATGAAAAACTACAAGGAATGGTTATGATATTGCATTCTAAAGTAAATTTTCTTCTTAATGTTTTTTAATTACACTAAATATGTTTCGTGTATTAGGCTGTTGATGAACCACAATATGGTTTTCTATACGCAAAATTATGTAGACAATTTCGAAAAGTATATTTTCTATTATCGATTTAAATTTATTTGAATTTGTCTTCTAGAAACACGTTGACGTAATAGATCAAGATGGCAGATCAGAAAAATATAGATTTCGTCAATTATTAATAGTGTGTTGTCGAAAAGAATTCAATACTGATGATAAACAAGAAATCGAATATGAAAAAAAGAAAACTTGAACTTGAAGCTATAACAGATGAGAAAAAAACATCAAGAAGAAGCTGAAAAATTAGAAGATCTTATTAAAGCTAAAAGAAGAAAATTAGGCAATATTGTGTAGGTATTTTTATGAACTATAAATTAATAGTAAAAACGACAATAAAATAGAGCGGAAAAGGTTTATATGATGATAACGATAAATAGATTAGACTGTTAGAATCCGCTTTAAGATATGAGAGATCAAAGTTTTGAAGAACTTATTCATTTGAGATCAACTCAGCTGACGAATGTCATGCTTGTTATTATCTTGCCTGAATTTTTCTTTGATTGTTATATGATAATATAAGATAGTTCACTAGAAATCATAGAAAATTTAACTCTTATTTTTTTATTACGGTTCGAATGTTTTGTTCTCTTAGTCCCAGACCCTTTAAAAATTTGTCTTTTACTCACTGTATAATTCTAGTCATGTTATGATCGATGGCTAATTTGGTTTTCGAATGTGATTGTCGTTCATAAATGATTCTGTTAGTTCAAATTTTTACTGTCTTATAGATTGCTTTTTTTTTTGCAAGAATTTATGATTTTGTGCTTAAGCTTCGAGAATATTCTGGTTACGATTCGATTAAACAGTTTTGATCAGAATCCAGCAGAAAAAAAAAATTTAACGTGTCCTGAGTATCCTGTGGGACAAGAAAAATATGATTTTTTGGGATTTGGAACTATCACGGCATTTCTCAATTTAATATAATTGAGATATTTTCGCAATCATATGATGATATCCGATACGTATAGCTTTCAATCTCATAAGATTTATTAAAAGATTAATTTCAATTTGTTTTTTCTTCAATTCACTAAAAACTATCATCAATAAAGAAAACCTACAATATTTATTCTTTGATATATGAAAATTCTTCTTATGCATTCTTATTAGAATCAACGTTTGCTTTTCTTGTCATTAAAATCTGATTTATTATGAAGGAAATTCTGTCGCATATGGATGTAAAATTCTATACGATACAAAAACAAAAGTAAAATCTTTTGATTATTTTAGTTTTATTGGTGAGCTATTTCAAGTACAAATGTTAACTGATACTATTATATATGATTGTATTGAATATTTACTTCGTGATAAAACTGATGAAGTAAGTCTTGAATGTTTATGTGATCTTTTACGTGCTATTGGTGACAAACTTGATGCTAAAGCTAAGAAAAAAGTATGTTCACTTTTATAGATTCAACTGTTAAATTTGAAATTTTGTTTTAGCATACAAAGAAGTCCAAATTGGAAAAACTTTATTGTGAATTAAATACTATTGTCAAAGAAGGAAAAATATCAGCACGTATTCGTTTTATGATTCAGAATCTTCTAGAATTAAGACAAGTAAGTAGAAGAATAAATATCTAACTGTTGAGAAAACCTAAATGTTGTATTTTTGTATCATGAAGAACTCAACAGAAGAAGCCAGAATGAAAGTGAAAACATCTATTGAAATCTTTTCCGTATACAAGAGAATTTTGTAATATATTTAGAAGAAGTTTTCCTTGAGAAGTGTACTTACATTTCAGAATAGAAGATAATAATTAGTCTGATATATTCAATTGATTTTGAAAGTAATCTAAGATACAAACTCCTTAAAAAGAAAAGTTATACTTCAAGATAAGGTGCAGAGATTTTCTCTAATGTCAATAGATTTACCTTGCCAATGATGATGTTTCAAATAAATTTTTTTTTCTAAAATAAAAACTCTATAAATTAGACTGCATGGGGCACTTGTCGTTCTGAAACTAAACCGACAACAATTGATGAAATTCATGAACAAGAACATTTAAATCGTGAAACTACTATTAGCAGTGCCTATAGTGGAAGTAGTCAACAACAGCATAACAATAAAAATGATAATTACAATAGTGAAATAAAACAACAATTGAGTATAAACGAAGAAGAAGATAGAATAGAAAATCACTCTCATGCTAATATTTTAAGACAACTACAATCAAATGATAAACGAAATCAAGTACGATTGGTAAAGTTTTTTTTTGATGAGAATTAAATAACGGTCCAACTGATTTATTCTTTTTTATAGACAATTAAATTAATACCACGATGTATACGAACAAAAGAATCAGGCATTGAAAAGAAACTTGAAGAAGATCGTTCATTTACCGAACAGGAAGAAAATTAACTAAAGACTCTTTTATTCATCATTCTACTCTTTAAAAATTCGAATGAAAAATATAATTCTTTTTAAGAAGTTCATAATACAAACATAAACAAAATCTTTTAAATCTCACGTTAGAATATTTTATTTTAGTATCTTTGAAAATTACGGAGATGAGCATCGTTCTGAATTACCTTTGAATCCAGTAAAAAATATGATGCACAATGATCAAAGGTCGTCAAATAGTTAACAGACTAGGGAAAACTTTTGCAACAACAACTTATATTTTGTATGAGAGAAGCAGTCAACCGCTTATCGAATTTCATGAAGATGAAGCATGTTGCAATATCAACACGATGATTATTGATTGATGTTTAGTATTAATTGGTGATAGTATTAACAATAATTGATACCAGTGCTGAATTAGCATTGGGACATGTTCTGCGAACACCATCGAAGCTACAAAATAAAATATAGTTCAAAACAAATATGATAAAAGCGTGGGTATGGGTCTTGATCACCTTTTGACTCATAACATACCCACGTCCACACCCACACCCTACACATTGAGGATTACCTGAGAATCGTTGATCTTCGAAAAGTTGTCGAAAAGAATAGACTGAATGAGCTACGTTTCCTTCTCGAGATGAGCAGCAATATTAATCAAACACAGCGATTCTTACTTATTCCGTTTTGAGTGGTGGATAATTTTGCTTGTATTGCAGCAAGTCATACTTTAGCTACAAGTGTTGATTTACTGATTGAGCTCTCACCGATAGATACGAAGGTCAAAGTTCTCGATTTTTTGGGTTTTTACGTTCCTAAACAATGACAAGAATGTTCAAAACATCTCGTGCCAGCGTTAAAAATCACTTTGGAAAAAATCTTTTCTTTTTATGAAATTGGCTTCAAAAACTCATTGTTGAAATAGTTATGTGGTCTCCATCACATCGAAAATGGAATTATTGGCAGAACACACTTCGATCATTTTCATATCAAAAGTGTTTTGTCTGTCTTTTGAACAATGTGAATCAGACTTAGTTAAATCATTTCTCTTTACGGCATTTTCATCGTTGTTAACATTTGTTGATTTAGCGTCACTTCATCTGAGTATTAACTCTGTGCTAATTTTTCTTAGAAGTTGAAAAAAACCACTGCTGACAGTCAACACAGTGCGCTATTCTCCATTTTTTATTGAATTCTTGCTGCGCAAATGAAAGCAAAATGGAGCCGCCTGATGAAAATTATTGAAGCTATGTTTAAATATGTTTCAGCATCGTTCTTTACCTTTTATCACACGTTGAAAATAAAATTTTTCTTAATTAAAGTACACTGCACAGATTCAAGTGAGGAAAGAGACCCTTGAGGAAGAATGAAATCAGTGATACTTCCTCATTCAACTAGATTCAATTTCCTCAAGTTCAAATCAACCATATTCGCAACATGAGAGAATATCTGCCACATTTTCTTTGTATCCTTTCAACTTCAGTTTATCCGTCTTTTCATTCTTTTTAAATTCAATCACAAGTAGTGAAAATTTATTAAAATATTTGTTAGTAAGCTCCATATGTCATACCAATAAGCATCGGTTTAAGCCGAGAGGAATATATGTGAAGAAGCGAAACAATAAAATTATTCTCAAGTAAAAATCAGTTGAAAAAAACAACTTTCGATTTTAACTATCATGATTCTGTTTGCCATCTACACAAGAATCAACATCGGAAGACACACATAGCAGTGTACCAAAAACACGTATGCGAAACAGCAGTATCACATATTAGACAAACGAAGGGGAAAAATTAATGATGTCACTTGGTTTTGGAAGATGGAGTAGGACGAATCGTCCAGAGCCTACTGTCAGCCACCTCGTGAAACATATTGGACTTGGCTACCACCACTGTTTGATCCACTGCAAGTAAAAGATTTATTCAAATTGTATTGTAGAGCAAATTCTGTTTTGACTATGGCTATCACTTACTTGCTATGACCATTACATCTATATATTTTCAGTCCACCTCATCTATCTTGACCAATGAACGTATAATTATCACACAAATCATCCGCATTATACGTATCCCAACGAGGAGTTACCAATGCTTTATTTCGTGGATAAACCCAAAAGTTATGGTCGCGATCAGGATCGCCATGATAAAATTTTCCCGACATAGCTATCTAAAACAATATGAAAGTTTTTCGTACTATTTCTTTTCTACGAAAAAGTTAAGTTGACTATTTTGTGAATATTTGTTGAATACAAATACAATGTTTGAACTTTTGAGTCACAGGGATAGTACACATATCAACTATCTATCACGAAAGTTTCATTTCAGCAAAAGTAAGTAATGTAAGGCAAGAACCTATCGCAAACAGTAACGATGTGCAAAAGCACTAAACAGAGAGCGAATAAAGTAATGAATGAAAAAAGTAGAGCATTGCTGCCGTTATTACCTACTTTCAGAACAAACAACGAAATTGAGAATGAAAGCTGTTCTGTGTCGTTGCTTCCTTTTTATGTGATTTCTTTTCATCTCTTCAGCTGAATTCCTATAACTGGCAATCAAGATGATGACTGGAGCAAAGAACGAAAAAGTAAAGAATGTCAGAATAAACGAAACAAGGATTGTCAACCGCCAATGCCTTCTTACAAAAAGCAAAAAGAAAATTGGCAACGAAAATTAATTGTGACCTATGGATTTCTCTCTCTCTCTCTCGTCGTTATTTTTTTGCCACTTTTATCGATTCGTTTTATTACCTAGAGAGCGCAATTACTAGGATAAAATCCAGCAAAGAAGAGAATGTATTAACGAAAGAAAAACTGAATTCTCTTTGATCAATGCTTATCCTCAATACAAATATCGAAATTGCAACTCAAGTGTTTCTTATTGTGTGACTGATTGATTCAGTAATTTTTTTCATGTCTTCAACTCAATCCTTTCACTTGTTAAACAGCGTAGCTATCGGAGTAAAAATCAGCAAGAAGAAATGCTGAATTTTGTCTCATGGATGGTTAACTGCAATAAAGATAACGAAATTAGAAATAAAAAGTTTTTTCCATTGTGGTTAGAACCATAGTTGTAATCGGTCAAGAAATACTAAAATCGTTCCGGTTCAGTCAGTCTAAAATTCTTTGTAGACTGTTCAGAACAGGAGAGTTATTAAAGTTTCGATAACTGATAAAATCTATATGTAATGATCATGGAATAAAAAGAAGATATACTTATTCTCAAAGTCAATATTAAGCAAATAGTAATTAAATGAAGTCAAAATAATAGCAACGAATGATAATAGTCATTTGGTATTAGAATTTTTCTAGTTTTTATCAAGAATAAAACTCCTACGCCAATTCATTGTAATTCTGTACATTCACATCAGCAGCTATGAGCAATACTTTTTTCAAACATTCTTTTGACATCGCACAATTATTATACATATCAAAAAAACAAGGAAAAACATTATTAACTTCATCCTTAACCAGCTTTCAAATTAAAATAGTGAAGCTAAAACAAATATCTGTCGATATGTATTTATTAGTTAATAAGTTAGGGTTTTGGTTGTATAGAAGAGAATATTTTGTTTTACTAATTCTCTATGAACATCAAATAAATATTATTTTATCTTAATAATTAAGTACTTCAGTCTCAAATTAAGTTCAAAGAACAAGTAAAGTGTGGGTATATAGACATTAGTCAATATGTCTTCTTTTTATCCCTTTCCACACCCATAGCCTTCGAAAATGGCACGGATTCTGAATTGAATATTTTTAGAGAATATGAATTTTTTAATTTTTCTGTATGGTGAAAAATAATATTTTTGTTTATATTTTCTTGTTTTTGGTCTTTTCTTTAAATCTAAATATATGAAACCTATATTCCCGTACTCAAAGAGATAAGCGAGAAAGTATGGAGTGGATGAATGGTCAAGCATAACTACGCGCATTCACACGCACCCACATCTCATATTCACATTTTATCACACATCCAAATCCATTTGACACTGATGACGAGTATTCGATTGATTTTGTATACTTTGAATTTTATTCCTGTTTGTTGTTTAACTTTTAGAACAAGAATGAAATTTCATAATGATTGATCGCATCTTTGTTTCAAGTATAAAAAGAGCTTGTAGTTCAATGAATAATCAAACCAATGAAAATCAAAATTATAAAACTGTAGATTTTAAGCTATATATTGCAAAAATGTTTGTTTTATTGAATACTGTTTTTTTTCTTTTATTATTTAAACAAGCACAAGAAGCATTGAAATACACGATTGAAAAACTCAAATGCAATAAAGCGAGGGAGAAACAACAGCGGTTCTCGTCTTGTAGTCTCATGAACCTGACAAATCTACCGAAATCTTTTGAAGCCTTTGTCCTTGAAGTCTTGAGGTCTGTTGTTTTCCCCTCATAACTAAAACACCCACATAGACTACAGTACAAACAATATTTAATTATGTAAACGACAAGTTTTGGTCATTTTTCATTTGACTTTCTTGCATCGATCCATGTTGGCAGGTCAATTCATGGATATTACAGCAATCTTGCCTACTGGTTCTTTAGTCAAAGTTTGACGTGGTTCTATTCGCGAATGAAGATCTTTATTTGCCGAAATGATATGGGCTGATTGTATTACTGGATTAGTTTTTCTGTTTTGCCTCTGTGAATGGAAAATTGATGCTATCGAACACATAATGTTCCATAATTCTGACCGAAAGGTAACCGATGATAATGTATACAAATAAAAAGAGAACACAGGAAACATGTACATCATTAATTCAGCAACAAAAGCAATCATTCGTTCGATAGCAAGGGCATTGACACTTCTATTCGGAACAGTGCTTACTATGGCATTCAAAATTACATTTCCCATTTGAGGTGTCATAAGTATAATATAACACACAATTTGTACATATAGTATAGCTGCTAGATGATTATCCATTGATTCTTTGCGTTTTTGTTGATCAACAAGAAACTGAATGGTAACTTTTTGAATTCTTTTCTGCTTTTTAATGTATAGATTACGACGT